TTTTTTTTTTTTTTTGCCAGTTCTTTGATTGCTATTTCGGTCTCTGCGACGCTTATCGGTTCTTCTCATTTTTCCGTTATCTCTTCTTCGAGACGGGGCATCGCTACTAGGTATTTTTAAAATTGCGCGTCGCTGCCGTGCTCCTGTCGCTGGAAGAGATTACTATAATATTCGATAAATGCTTTCTCTGTAATCTCCGGGTGACTACTTGGCAAGTCTTCGTATTCTATTTTGGCTATGTTTATTTTTATTTTTTTTTCCTTTGCATGTTTAGTTTTGGCACTTAATGCCCGTTTAGTGGGCTGCTCCCCTAGAATGTGTTTAGCGGCTCGGGCCCGCACGATGGCTCCTTTATACTTTTCCATCTCTAAGTCCGCAGTTGTACTCTTTACTGTCGTTATCTGTTCTGAAAGCATGCCTGGGCTTTAATTTTCGAGTTTACATAGTCGGTGAAGGTCATCAAAAAACAACTTTTCGTTTTTTGTTTTTTTTTTCTTTTTTTTTTTCAGTTAGCAAACCTGCTAGACCGTTCTATTGCACTAGATTTAACTCCGCGCTTGAACCATTCGCACTTTTCACAGGCGCTCGCCCCTACGTGGTGCATTTTACTTATTAATTTATCTACTGTCTCAATAAGGCTATTAATTATTCATTTTCCACTGGTCCCAACGAAACTGGGTTTTTTTCTTTGAAACTACCAACAATAAAAGAAACGAGTGTATGATCAGAAAAAAATACCGGCAGTACATCATAGTCTTCGTATCCGGTTAAAAATTCAATTGACACGTAAGCTCTATCAAGACGGGCATGACTCGAGGACTGATAATGTGTGTACCTCAAACAATCGTTGGTTCTTTGGTAAGTAGCGACATCCTGCAAACTGTATTCTGTAATCAACTCGTTAAGAATTATTGGACTACTGTCGCTTTGTCTTGTAATTTTGGATCGGTTCGGTGTGCCACAAACGCAGTTAAGGTCACCTAACAAGACAACTTTACGTTGAGAATCTAAATATTGGTCAATGCTCTGAAAAAACACTTTCCTTTCGTTAATGTCGTTTGGGGCGTATACATTTATGATACAATTTTCAACATTACAAATACTACAGCCGCAAATGACGAGTCGACAAACATTGTCAACTATTAGTCATTGGACTTGTGCGTTAAAAAATTTTCGTGAAAACCACATACAACTCCCGGACAAACCACTTGCCCGCGACACGCGCTCTTTAAAAAAGTGCAAGAAAGAAGCCAGTAGGCATGCGATCTCTTTCACTTCCAACATTGGTCTCCTGAATTGCGAGGACATCTACACCTTTGTCGATTCGGGGCCTCTTAACAACACGCCCGTCGGTCCATAAAAAAGTCCATGACGAAGCAAAAATAGAGAAAAAGCGTCGTCAGTTTTCACGTGGTAAAATCCAGTGTTCGGTGAAGTACATCTAAAAAGTATTTGAAGTAAAGTACAAAGTAAATGAGGGGTTATGTACTTCAAGTGAAGTAGTAAGTACCCCGGGCACAATGTACTTGAAGTGTGATAAATAAATGTACTTTCAAAGTAAAGTACTTTTAACACAATCTTTCATGTTGTCCTTTCATTCCCCTATACAGTGTTTTCTAAAACTGGTATGAATTGCCCCAGGGGTAATCGGGAGGGCCTCAGTTATTTTCGAAAATTCCGGCACATATTGGATAAAGTCAAGTGCCCACAAAGTAGTTATGGTTTTTTTTTTACTTTTGTTTTAATGGCGCCCAATTTAGAAGTCCTTTTGATTTCTCAATTTGCCACTCCTTGCACTGGCTTGCACCTGAGGGGGTTAAACGTAGTAGGACCAATCAGCCGCCGCCCTCTTATCAACTGATCCAGCTCTCCGCGCAATGGGTATAAGCGAGAGAGTGATGACGTGGCGAAAGAGATGCGTATGACTGTTCAACGAGGACGTAGCATTCACAGCAGTATCAGCTTAGGGGTGAACGGAGTATAGTAATGTATAGATCTTTTCATTTTCCTCCGCATGGGCGCTGCCATCTTAGAATCACGTGACGCGGCAGCCATTAGGTTGCTTCAACTTGCTGTTCCGCTCTCCCCTCCGCGCCTTGGCGGATGCGTTGAATTCGTGTTTTTCGTCGCGTTTCACCGCGCTTTCTTGCCTTACTCCAAAAACTGTAGTCCGATGCGTCTACTGGACGACTAAGACATCACGAGCGTTCAAAGGTCCTTATGACAACTGAAATTTGTTTACTAATAGTGGCGGAACATTCCCAGTCAGAAGCGCGTATATTTATATCGCATCTAGGATCGGAGAGCGTCAAGAATAGTCAGCGCAAGCAGACTATCTGTATTTCCTGAAAGTATCGTTCTTTGCATCCATAATATATCGAAAACAGATTCTTTTGATTACGTCAGGAAACTCGAGGAGGAGATAGACAACGAATGTTTAACTTGTATTTTATCTGAGGCTACAAGTAACGGTACGTCAATATCAGGAGATTTGTTGATTCATATCACACCTACATGTGTATGAGGTCCTCGATGTTTTTTTTTTTTTTTCGACGTAAAACATTCTCGGTCGGTTTACTTATGAAGTTTAAGAAATTGTATACCGTGCTCGCTCCCATTTCAACAGTCATTTGAAGTGATTTATTGATTATATTTTTAACACAAAAGTTGAGACTTCCCGCGTAAGAAACTGCCACAGACACTTAACAGTAACGAGTTTTAGAATAGCGTGCAAAAAGTAATAACGTTGTTTCTTTTTGCAAATACAAAACGTGTTTTTGGTTCGGCGCATGCACATTAATAACAATGTTTTTTTTTTGTTTTTTTTTTGTATACGCTGTATTGCAAAAACATACGCTGTATGCAAAAAAAAAACCAAAACAAAAGGCTTGGGGGGAGGTTTTGCATACGTTGTATGCAACCCCCCCCCCCCCCCCCCCCCAGCCTTTTGTTCAATAAGCCCCCCGTAGGTCGCCAGCAGGTCCGCAAAACAAGACTCTGGCGACTCAACTACATACGACTCCGTTGTGCGAAAGCAGGCTTGGATTTTCTGCACCACCTCCTTCTCGTATTTTCTATCTCGCAGCTCTATGACATACCCAGCTTTCTCAGGTGATAAAGATATCTCGTGCGAATGCACCATACGACACGTATCAAACAAAAACAAATTGGCCATAAGAAAAAAGAATTAGTAGTGCAATATTTACCCCGATCGAAGCCCTCCGGTTCAGGGCATTTTCGGATGTGTGCAGCCTTGCAGGGATTATGCCAAACGAGTCATCGTGGTGTTGAGGTCCAAGGCTGAAGGCAGGCACGATCTCCTAAAAGTGTTGTGTATGTGTGATGGCGCTTCACCAGCGGTATGCCGATAACATCGAGGACACCTGCAGCTGCTGAACAAGGCGACAGAATTTATTTGGCAACGCGTTAGAAGTAGGATGCCTAAAAACGCCAAGAGCAAGTGTCAAGCGGGGTGGCCTTAGAGTGCTGGGGGACGTCCAGCTTCCAGGAAAAGTGCCCAGAACTTTCCCAAAATGCCTCAAAAACAGCGTTGAACTGCGCTAGAAACCGCACGAAGAGGTAGCTGAGTTGCGGCGGATCTCAGATAAAACTGATACAGACGAACTTCGGGAGAATTGATGGTTTGTTAAGTTGCTCAACGAACACTAACACGTTGCCAACACAAGGTGGGAGGATGTTGGAAAGAGCTTTTTCGTTCTTTCAAAAAAACGAGCTTGAAGTTGTGTAACGGTCTGGAGCTGGCAACCTTGGAGAACGGCATCAGGAAGAACAAGACCGGTCACCTAGAGGTCACGTATTCGAGTGCCACGTCAGCCTTCTTGTGGGACTATGATAGGAAACGAGTCCCACGCGAAGGCTGACGCGGCACTTGCATCCAATCATGGCCCGTGCAGGCCTTCGGGACCTGACGTCATGTCACGTGACGAGCAGGCTTTGAAAGCCGTCTAGAAAATGTTGGTCGTACTCGGCTGCAAGTGTGTGAAATGCGCTTTAAGGCTTGTTCACACACTTGTAGCCGAGTATGACCGAGGGAGACAAGACCGGTTTTTAAGCCTCTTGCGACGTCTCAGGACCACCTCCGCAGCAGCGCATCCGGTCCTAAGACGTCGCAACAGGCTAGAAAACCGGTCTGGTCTCTCTCGGTCGTACTCGGCTGCAAGTGTGTGAACATCGCTTTAGGTGTTCGCCAGGAGTTCGGTTCCCGTTGTCAGCATCGGCCCCGCACCGGCCCGTCCGGCTTTGGCAACGCTAGCCCCACGATCCCGTGGGGCTAGCATCGCCGCGTTTACCAAGTTTTACAGCGTAAGCTGTATCGGGTTTGTTCAACTGGGCGAGTGTCTTGCCGACGAAAACAAACTGAGCACGCGTGCGTTCATCGCAGGTGACCTTGGCGCTAGGAAAGCGCGAGTACAGCTCGTCCTGTCGCTAAAAGTCTTGAGGACGTCGTCAATGTGTAGGCGCCGACGGTCTCACCCCGAGTGTGTTATGGTGGAAAGCCCTTGACGTCAAGATCATGCTGCGAGTGAACGTAAAGCGGCACGACGTAGTATCATCGAAATGCCGAACCAGCTGACGCTGTCCATTCGCATCACGTCGCGTAATCATCCGCGCAATTTCTTTTTTACGTAACTTGGGGTCAAGCCACCGATGTACCCAATTTTTAAGTCCGTGAGTGTAAACATCGCGGAGAATACATTTATTTTCAGCATATGGGCACTTTTATTTCAGCTTATCAAGATACGTGTGTATAAAATAACATTTGCCCTCACTGGGAAAGTAATACGATAATTAGTTGTCGAAGCCAAGAAGCAATTACTATACCATACAAATATAACACCCGAAAGAACGGTGTCTTCACCGCGGTGGTGAGACGTAAAACCGTAAATCCACTAAATATTCGGTTCCCGGCATCCGATCACGCGGTCAGATAGTACGTATGACCAAATCCAGCAACAAGCAGCAACAAGCCCCCTCCCCCGAAATGCTGCTTCCTCAGTTCTCCGACGCTTTCTGGGCGTGTAGGGTGAACAGATGCGAGTGAAAGCTGCAACCGGTTGGCGTCCGAGTGCATCCTCCCAACAGCCTCGAGGACAGCTCTTCTCGCATGCAGTCTTCTTTTTCCTTGGGAGTGCCCGACTTGACGGTGACGAGTGTAGCCAGCAAGGCTGAAAGCAAGCGGAACAACGCTGGATAAGAAATAACGCCGACTGCCCACGCGTTCCGCGGCCACACTTCGTTTCACGAAGTCCAATCTCAGTCGACGCCACGATCCCGTGGGGCCGATCAAGCAGCACCAAAAGCGCATCGTCACGGTGCCTTTACCGTGCGTGGTTGGTTGGTTGGTTGGTTGGCTCCATCGGGTCGTAGCATCGGCTGCAGTTGGACTGGCAAGTACAGCGTCTCTTTTTGGGCGAGAGGACAGGGTAATGAGCTCCCGAAGAATAACGAAGGTTAGAAAGGAGCACGCCAATCGCCGGAAAACCACCGGAACATGCGCAGGGCACGTGCTGACGAGGTAGCCAACCGAAACCGAAAGCGAGTAATCGCACTTGATATGCAAACAGAAATACGAAGATGCGGAACTTTGTTTGAACGGAACCTCGCTTCGTAAGTGGAGCTTCTAGACATCACCCATAACCGTTTTAAAGTGTGTAAGTAGAAAAACATGGAAGTGTTGTACTATTTGTTTTCGGGTATTACCGCTGGCACACGTACACTTCTTTAAGTTTATTCGCTCACCAATTTCATGCAAGCAAGTACTCGTTCCAGTTTAAAAATGTTAAAGCTAAAGACCCCAGGCTGGTGGCAGTGGTGCTGAATTGTCTCGATTGGATTAGACTTTATATATATAGATCACCAGCATTCAAAGTGTGTTATACCCCATTCACACGACCACAAAGGTACCTTTCGCTAAGGGACCTTTATTCTCTGCGCCGAATCAGTTTACGATCCACCGCGCGTGGCCTTTCCTTGCGACCCAAGGGCGTGGGTAGTATAGCGCCTCTTGCAATTGCAAGAGGCCGATTGCAAAGGCACCTATGTTAAAGCTATCTTCAGGCTGGCCGTGTGAATATGGTATTACACCCACACCTTTAGGGTGCTTGTGAGGGCCAAAACATAGGATGGTGGCAGTCTTAGTGGCATCGTAGAGATATTTCTTCAGGGGCAGCAAGTTTACAAACAAGCACAACATACACTTTTCACATACACAGAAAGTGCAAATCAATTTCATAAGCACTAGATGACACAGGAGAGAAGAATCATGACCTCTGATAACTGCTCGGCCGGTTTGTTCTACATATTTATTCGCAAGTGCACTGCCTCCGCAGTTTCATAAAATTAGACCTACGTGCTTTGTTCTCGTCAATATCTCGCGTAATGCTTCATATACAATCTTTTTTTTAATTTATCTCCAAACAGCATTGATAGATCGATTATTCGATCTATCAATGCTGTTCAACGATTATTCAAGAACGTTGCAAAACAACCTCAACGAAAGCGGGTGGCAGTACGGCGAACATCGTTCAAAACAAGATGTTCGCCTCACTCCACCGTACACTTTTTCACGCCCTTCAAAATTGAAGGATGTTCAATCCAACAGCACTATATTGTAGAATTGATAAGGGTATATTACATCAAAATAAGGATGCTGTAATGGTGTAATCATTGGCGTAATGTGGTGAAATCACAGCTTTGTGAAACGGATGTCGATGCCATCCATCGACTCCCCTCATGGACCGAACGGTCTGACAAGACTGCGCCCGTTCTTGTAAGTTTCACATCCCGCCGAACAAGAGAGACATGGCTCGAAAAAGGGTAGAACTGAGGAAAGCTAAGTCAAAGAATTTTCGAAATGAAAATCTCACAGCACAAAACAAAAAGCTATTCTGGCAAATGAGGACAAAAGCAACGGAAATGGAATATAAATTTGCTTGGCAAAGGAATGGAAAAATGTTCGTTCGCCGAGGCACCGGCGACCGAGTCATCAAAATCAGTGCGGAGAAAAATCTGGAAATTATACACTAAATAGTTATTTTTTTCTGTTACGTAGTTATTTCATTTGTCATCCACCGACATGACAAGCTATGTTGTAAAAGGCAGTTATTACGATTCCATTTCTTTCAAGCACTGTAATGCTTTGCATAGTAAGCAGTTTTCTCTACTGCACCTGAATGCTCGAAGTTTAAAAAATAAACAAGAAGCTTTTGAAACATTTCTAAGTGACCTAGATCACAACTTCGATATCTTAGCTTTTACCGAGACCTGGTTTTCCGACGACTCCGATATCGTTCATTTTTCGGGATACAGATGTACATCGCTATCTCGAAAAAAGAGGAGAGGAGGAGGCGTCGCGGTATATGTAAAAGAATGTCTAGATTATAATATGTCAGCCGAATACTCTGCGATAACGCCAGTCTGATCCCTAATGATCAAATGTGGCCATACTGTTCTTGTTGTCCTGTACAGGCTCCCTTAAGTCAAAATACCCATGTTTCTGAAATACCTTGAAGATATGCAGAGTCGTTTGTGCAGACTGGTTTACATGTTGTTCTTTGCGGTGACGTCAATATAGATGTGCTATCCTCAGACCCAACTACGCAAAAACTTCTTGATACTTTGCATTCTTTTGGCCTGGAAAACGTTGTGAAAGTAGCTACCAGGGTGGCGGACGTGTCTGAAACAATGCTTGACTTGTGTTTCGCTAACTACCCAATGAATGAACTAGAGGCATGTGTACTAATATCAGGCCTTAGTGACCATTTACCGATTTTTATGTTTTTCACGCCTTACTCGACACAACGCAAAATATCACCACCGATTACTTTTAGATTGATAAACGAGAATAAAATCAAGTTTTTTCAGAGGTTAGTCTCGGAGACAAACTGGAACAACATTTTAGAATCGGTTGACTTCAATATAGTATACGACGTATTTATAACGACTGTGAAGGAACTTTACGAGCGAGCGTTTTCTATGACGGAGTCCAAAATAAATAAGCAATCAAGGAAACTCTGGATTGACGCCACGCTTCGCAAAGGAATAAAACATCGTGATAAGCTTTACGGCTTATTTAGAAGAACGAGGTATCCGAACTATCTATCTGAATTTAAAAAGGAGAGGAACAAATTGCCTCGTGACGTTAAGTGAGCACGAAGCAATTATTATGAGAACAAATTTGCAGACATCTATAATAATTCTAGGAAAGTCTAGCTAGGAAACTGTTAACACCCTTATGTCAAAAAAATGCGGCATTACTGAGCTTACTATCGAAGGCATGTAATTCTCTGGGACTATCTAGGCCTGCTGACGAATTTAACAAACACTTTTTGGAGTCTGGTGCATCGAGTAGAAATACTTCCAACATTACTGATTACGAGCGTTATACCACATCTAGCACAGAAAGTTCGATTTTTATGTTTCCAACTACGGAATTAGAAATAAACAATTTAATACAAAAACTAAAGCATAATAGCGCTTGCGTTGAATACGGCATGAAAGCTAGACCTATAAAATCAGTTGCCAACTTGATTAGCCAACCACGATCACATATACGTAACCTAGTCTTAGGCACAGGTGTATTCCCAAGTAAATTAAAAATCGCTAGGGTATCAGTAATACATAAAGGAGGGGATAAAAATTATTTTAAAAATTAGACCAATTTCTGTTCTACCAGTTTTTTTCGAAAATTATAGAACAAGTTACCAATGAACGATTTTTAAACTACTTTAAAAAGACAAATCTTATATCAGAACAACAGTACAGGTTCCAGGAGCAAACGTCGGCGGAAACGGCATTGTTAAGCATAAAAGATAAAATAATTGCTAATTTTGAACACCAACTGTATACAGTAGGCGTATTCATTGACTTAAAAAAAGCGTTCGATTCAATCAAGCATGATATTTTATTGGGAAAACTTTATAGACGTGGGGTTAGAGGGAATTCGCTTCGCCTAATGAACAGTTATTTATATAATCGATTGCAATATACCAACGTTAATAACGCGAAGTCAAATATGGGTAAAATAAAGTACGGTGTCCCGCAGGGCTCTATCCTTGGCCCGCTGTTATTTTAGTGTATATCAACGACATAACTAACGTTATGCTTTCTTGAGATATAATGCTTTACGCTGATGACACTAATATATTTTTTTCTGGGAAAAACCTACAAGAGATTGAGCACCACACCAATACATGGCTCATAAATGTATCATTATGGCTCATAGCAAATAAGCTAGAATTAAATCCTAAAAAAAAAACTACGTATATTATTTTTAGACCACGCAATAAATGTGTCGAGCAAGAAATCCTCGTACAATATCACGGCGAAATTATTTAACGGGTTGTTTCGCACAAATTCCTTGGCGCTTTGTTTCACGAAAACTTAAGCTGGTCTTTTCACCTAGACAAACTAAGAACCGAGATCTCGCGCTCCATTGGTCTTATCTGTGGTGTTATACATTTATTGCCACGTCGAATAAAGAAACAGTTTTACTACGCATTGGTTCATTCTCGTTTTAACTACTGCCTACTTGTACCGGGAACAGCAACAAAAACAAATATAGACAGCCTATACACACTGCAAGAGCAAGTCTTACGTTTAATAGAAAATGCACCGTACAGGAGTCATACTGCTCCGCTTTTCAGAAAGCACCAGTTATTAACATTACAAAACGTTATTAAAAAAATTATCTTTAATCATCTATAATCAAATAAAGTCCGAGCCAACAGCCTTCTTTCAACAGTACCTTTGGATAGAACATACTTACAATCTTAGATCCACAAACTAAACAAGAGAAAAAGTACGCACAAACTACGGAAACCAGAATCGATCTAACCAAAAACCCATCCTTCTAAGTGGCCATCCTGATCTGATGGCTATAATCGAGGACAGTGTATCAATTCAGGCTTTAAAAAGAAACGTGAATATGTACTTTCTGTCATATCAAGAGTGACTGCATTTTCAGTTTTTTTTTTATTTTTTTCTCTTTGAAGTGTTATGATATGTGCTGTGTCATGTTTGTTATACTCCGTTTTCATTATAGCATATTATTTGTTATTTTCTTGACCTTTATGCAGTGCTATCCCGTGTGCATTGTTATGCTTATGCTTTTCACATAGTTGTTTACGTTTCGCAAGTTTTCATTATTCTGCCTTCGTGTGTACCA